TGATCTATTTCAACTCATTTGACATTTCATCAAGATGAGAATATCTTCAATAATTATATCCCGCAGAAATATAAAACAAGTACAAAAACCGTTCCTGCATATCTGCCTCAATTACGCGTCTATCATCTGGATCGTAATAGCGTAGACATGGCTGTCTGTTGACGTTCTCCCTCAATCAACAAGTTAAGATAAATGTCATAACAATCGCTGTTTGACAAAATCCCTTTTCTAACTGACACATGAGTACACCAAATTTGTCGATCATCTGATATTTAGTCCACCAGAGGCATTCGCGGCTGCTTTAAAGCAAACGATGGACTCGCCTCGCCGTCCATTACAAGCTTCAATTTAAGTGGGACTGCTTGGCTTTCACGATTTCTGTGACAATAGGGCAAAGCTCGCTATCGTTTCTATACCAATTAACATCTCTAGTAAAAAGACAATTTATTTATTTACCAGAAAAAAAGATGAATATTCACCCCATACAGAAATACTTATTTATATTATATGAGACATAAAAAAAAGTCAGTCTCAGTGCGACGTCATCACATTTACCAATTCTCCAAACAATATATAGTATTTATAACTGGAACTAACAATCGACAAGTATTATAGCGTTAATATTCTGAGTACATACACTATTTAAGTATCGGTGCAGAAATGTCGGTAATGGCAATGTTAGACACGAGATGCCATCGATCATTGATAATTTCCATGAGTTGAGGTGTCTGGAACATCTCAGTCATCCCTGGGTATTCGTTTCGTTTTCCCCGGCTTCTTATAGCGTCAGAGTGTTTTATTTCTTCTCACTGAAAGCCTGCTATATTTTTCCAGCCTTCATAGAAGTAGCGACAACAGAAATAAGTTTTTAACTTTTTTATTTATTTATTTAATAAATGGTGTATAGAATGTTTAAACTAGTCGATATTTCTCGCAGAATTGCAACATTGACAGGATATATGGGATTTCAGCCTGAGCAAGTCCAGTACTTGCACGAATGTGATGGCTGTCAACAGCTTGTACGGATATCAGCATAATGTAGTTGCGTCAACTAACACTCGTACGGCAATTAAACTCGAATGCCACCAGCATTGGTTTTACCATAGTAATTAATCGCGTATTTATAACGACATAAACGATTTCTTTATTTATATTCAGTCGCAATCGATAACACTAGCGTTCAAGGCCGCCATGTGACAGTCGCGTGCAGCAACTTTCACGCACATTAGTTGTATGCCAAGTTATGGTTGGGAGACAAGCGATCACATTTTTTAATTAAATATATCGTGTAATGTTTAATGTACCAAAAACGTCGCAGTGTGGTCGCCGTCTTTTCAAGTACAGACAGACAAATAAATAAAATTGATTCTTTTGTTTTTCTTCAAAGGCAATGTCATTTATCCCGTGCTACGAGAATTGAAAGCCAAACCGACGAACACGTCACGTGAGATATTCGGACTACGGCGAACAAATGAGCAACGGCACACTTCTACTCACGAACACATCGTGGCTATACTAGGTCTGGTAATGGGGATGTAAAACAGTTTACAAACTGATGTTTACGGAATATTCACGGTGGTTCTGAGATCAGCGTATATGACCGTACACGTGTTTACATTTATCCTGGTAGCAGCACTTCGTATTTAGAACGTTATAAACGATGCAATGCATAATTGAAAATCGATAGTGTTTACAAACAAACACTAATTTGCAAGGTCTGTACATATCGACAATGTTGTGGTTGACTTTCAGGTGCAACATATTCCGTAATACATAATATAAGCTTTCATAACTATTGCATTTCTAACTCTGCAACTCCTTCCAGGCAGATTGTCTAAAATAATGCAATTATCGGTCAGTTTGAAGATACCCGTGTTTTCTTTTACAATTAAAAAGCTAATAATACAATCTGTTGGCACGCTAACTGAAATGTTGTAGCTTCAATGTGGATTTACAAGCAGCACATGTTAAACTGGTAAATGTCCAGCGAAAACACATTATTAAATATATAGTGGCGAAACAACTTGCAGATATTTGTATTATATTCACCAGAGATTTTATTTTTGATCTGTTCAATTTCGGGGTCAGAAACGTTCACCTACAAAGCATGGCATGGTAAAAACAGCCAACGCATTGGCCAAAGATGTGGCTATTAGGTCAATGACTGTTACTGAGAGAAATATATTAATTAGGTCTTCAATCCCGTTTTAAAAACTCATATCATTTAAATTAAAGCTCAACAGCCCCGAACTGCTATGCAAATACGACTTTTGTTGCTAAGCATCGGTCCACCACAGCTGTTCCAGTTTGAATCGCAGCACTGGAATACAAAATACAAAAGAACACGCACACCGCGGACTAGTTTAATTGTTTGTACAACGGTGACTAGGGTCGACCCAGTCTCCATATCATGCCCCAAGGCACTACCAATTACACATTCAGTAAAGTATATTTGTGTTGTTCAACGGCGAGTAAGATGCATGTAAAGGAGACATGTACCATACACACATGGGAAGGGCTTACTTTGCCAGTGAATGACAACGTTTTCGAAAAGATAGGAAACACCGTATGCACCGTTTGAATACACCGATCTACAACGCCCCTGTCTTTTAGTCCACGTTAGTACATGAATAAGAACACTCGGCTTAAAATAACACCGTTCTAAAAATATTCAGTAGTTGAATTCATAGTAGTGGGGTTTTAATTCAGCACATTATAGCGCATGGCCGGTTACAAATAAATATGATCCGAATAAAATATACATAGTCCGCGCATAAACATTTAGCCTGAGGTGACATGTGGAGAAATAAAATGGTTACTTTATTTCAACATTTTGATTATGTATTGTTAGCAAATGCGCCACAGTTCGACACGATATGTTTACTGTTATATTCACTATGTCATGATACTTAGGAAAATGATCCACGAGGTTATATTTCTATTAATAACATCGTCAGTGGCGGTACGTGTGAAATTTGGGAATGGGGCGACAGATTAAGGTGGGCGATATTCATTGTAAATTCAGAAGAAACTGGTTGAATTTCGCCGTTTTTTTAAACGACGCACGGCACGCTTCTCTGGGTACCGGAGTAATGGAATTAAAAAAAGATGATACTCCTGGGAAACGCACAACCCGATGTCGGGTAAACGCGCACCTTCTTCGAACTTTCAATACACTACGAGCCAAACTATAACTAAGGTCACGTCAGGCTGCATTGTACGTTAATGGCCTTAAATTAGGACGCTTAATAAAGAGACAAAAAGTAACAACCCCTTGTTCATTAACAGAATTGAAGTATATTAAGTTATTGATAGGTATGTGGCTTATAATTCGCTATACGTGCCCGTAATTGACATGTATTACATTTCTATTCTCCCTTTGTGTATTATTGCAATTTAACATATTGGATCTACCCTCGTGACTCCATCGTATTCTCATGGAAAAAATTCATTACTGCAATGAAGGCACTATCAACACGCTCGATCAAATCAATAAGCCATGAAAGTTATAAACGCATAGATTATAACAAGGAATTGAAAGGGAGTTATTTTGAAACTCACTCGGTCGAAATTAAAGTATGAATTTTGTATAAATTCTCATTATGTACAGACACGAGATGACTATTTCGTTACAAATGAACCCCGCGATTGACAGAGGCGAAAGACTGAAGTAAGGCATAATTTTCATTATTTGAACAGCTTTGGGAAACAAATAATATTAATAAAAAACTACTATAGTATGTATGTATTCCCATATTCCGACTGTGTGTGACGTCACAATACATTTACATCTTCAGCAATATATCATCTAATCATCAGCGAAGTAACGGCTTTTAAACTTGTTATTCGATATCTATTTGTATATTGCAAAGTTGGTGTTCTTGTCTTGAGAGCGTGTCTGTGTGGTGGGGGGGGGGTATTTAATAATTGTTTATGGCTGAGCATCAATTTGTTCATCAACACGCGTTTGTTTCTGTCACATAACAAACCCACTCTACATCTTCCATTATGTAGCTGGGTTATGCGTTAAAACTGGAATTGTTATGATAGTATGTGTTTAATTCGAGGTGATTATTTTAATTTGTCCGTCCTATATGACACTGCCGCAGCGACAGAGACGCCGGGCCCTGCCTGTCTCCCTCAATAGTGTTTCCATGTGCACGATGCGCGACTTTCTGTAAAAGGCAATTGTCCGCACTAATACTAGTGACATGTGTGCCACACTAGGCGCCTATATTCGTGCTTTTAAGGGCTATAAAATACAATTTTCATTATTTCAGTAGGACTGGTGATTTAATCTGTTGTTGCTGGCTAGATAAACTGTATTCACCACATTATCCGCCAACAGATGATACATAGAAATAAATAAAAGAGACCGCGGTAAACCGTGAAATCCCTATATATTACTCGCCGAAACGAACAGTCAAATAAACCCCCTCCATCCACCCACCCTAAAAATTCTACATTTTCGGGTTCTTTCCAATAGTTTCAAATGACCTGGTATGACCCAAAGTGACGCAAACTTCATTTATACATATGGAACAAATGATATATAGTGCAATACTTAAATATAATTTGTAAATGTCAACAATAATAATCTGAGAAAACCCACACTTTCCTTCTCTATGGACCGCCGGGCTTGAAATAGGATCGCTGGTTCTTTTAGCCGCTATGGAAATTAACGAACCGACGTGCGACCCACTTCAGTCAGTCATTCGGCCAGACACACACACACACACACGGAACTAAGCAAAAACGGCGGGGACACCCACTTCATTCTGCAATATTGTTTTTCATATAGTCTTACACTTTTCAATGAATGAAGACTAAAATTAAAGGGACCTGTGCCGCGAAATGCCACAATGTCTAGTTGAGTATGCGCAGTGTTGACTGCAGCTACAGCCTTTCAGATCAGTTTGTCCCGCACTATATGTACCGCTGGTACATAGAACACGACTGCCACACACCATGTTTCAAAACACTATATAAAATTCACTTACCCTCATTTCCTCGCCGTCTGCTCATTGTTATATTGCGGTTGTTGTCTGTCTATCCTCGGACAAGGATTCCCGTCGTGTTGAATGGACAGTCTCTCGGAAAGCTGTGTTAATAGTTCGAGACTCCAGCACGATGTGTCGATGGAGAGGCTTGGTCGTCTGTTCTCAGTGAGATAACCGGCGTCCGGGAAATATGAACATATAACGCGTATCCCAGGATAACTTCTCGGTCACAACAACAACAAATACAACACTACGTAAGATGTATCGATCTTTATATTAACTAGTATGCCCGTTCTTGTGAAACGTTCTATCGTATCTACCGACTCCGATCAACCGCCTGTGTGTCGAACCCGGCGTACTATAAGGAACAGACAGCAAGTTAATGTGTATACACTGACGGAGCTGCGAGCGCTGCCGGCACTAATTTGTTAAATAATAAATTGTATTACAATCCACGCAGTTAGACTCAACGCGTCGTGGCCGCGTGCTGTGCGGTGAAGTAACAACACGAACCAACCAATCGTGGCCTTCTGGGACGGCAAGACCATTTGCGTAAATGAATACCAAACCACAGAGAGAACGAATTGAGGGGGTTGTACGTGTCAGACTTTTTCATTGGCATCGAGGGATATGATTAATAACTCAATAAGATTGTGTACATGAGATAAATGGGTGCTCATGTCATTTATATACAAATGAAATAAAATGCAAAGACGTATTGAAGTACATCACCCCCCCCATTTTGCCTAATTTTCTGTACTGCAAATTAAATTGTAGATATGGTGGGCACAAACAACGCAACTTTCAAATCTTCCACATTTTGAGTTCCAATGATTGAAGTGTATATCGTTGTATAAATGTTCTATATAGTTTGCAATCGTATTCAATTGCATGTTTTTTTATGGTATTTTTCATTTAGTGTTATAGTCAGGGTTTCATTAAGAAGCAGTTTGTTTATTTTCTGTAATAACATCGTAAACGCTCACGAGATGAATTACTTATCGGAGACATGACATCATTGCCACTATATACTTTCTAAATTCAGATGTTTATCGCCCGAACGCCGGATATTGTGTCGATTAGCTTATCGAAGTTCAGCTGTTGTCCAAGATGGCACGTTCTGTTTTCTATGAACATAACTCTGGAAAAAAAAATGATGTCTTCATCAATTATTTGTCAGAGCAATAACATCGCCGTATAGTAGAAGAATATATACTACCGGTATTACTAAAGATTTTACAAATAGTGCAAAACATCCACCAAACCGACCCGAATATAAAAGTGCCGATGAATGTATTAATTGTTGCCGCAAAACGGCGCTAGCACGGAATACAGTTATTGACGGAGCAAGCATGTGAAATTTGATATATACAATCTAGATCACCATGGTATTAATAATTTAATAATTAGACAGTTTGCAACGAATAGAATTTGAAAACAAATTCTATTTATCGAAGGCATATAGGTACGAGGTATTTATATTTCATATTTGAGAGTGACGCATGCGCACGTTGAATTGTGATATCACATAATCAACGTATTTGTGGTGGGATGGAGATCTGAATTAACGTAATGTAGTTGTCGCAGTGAAGAACTTATATTTCCAGTTTACCAGTTACTATTTGATAGACCGACCAACCTAGTCATGAAGTTCCAAATATGAATATGGTCTCTGTGGGAAAATTCACGCCAGCACCTGCAATTTCAATGTGAGCACAAAGAAAAGGGGAGACAGCAGTTACATTCAATGACCGGAACTATCGCCTGGCACAGAAATAATTTAAAAGAAAGGAACTTCAAGTTTATATATTATATCATACTGTTATTGTGCCAATTTAACCCGAGACAACGCAATGCGCCGAGATTTTGAAGTGCATGTAAACTTTTTTTTTTTTTTATTCGGTGTCACACACACTCAGGTTGTACCCTTTTATTTGTTCAACAACACTAGCTCTAACCACCTGGATATCGACGGGAAACGGGGCCAGATGGATAGGTGTCATGAAAATAATCTTTTTGATGAAGCTGAACGGTATAATGCACATTAAACACAGGGTATGATTTCGCGATCAAAAATTAATGATTTTTAAAAAGCAGTTGTCGCTTCTCTTGAACGTCACATCCCAGTTTACTTTAATTGCCTGAAGCCAAAGCGAACCGGGAGATTAGTGACAGAGACCACGATATGAACACATAATGAGGCTGTCTGCAAATATAAACAATACCATTGTTTATGTCGCAAGGATTCCTCCAACGCTTGGATAATTCAATTTCTAGCAATGTGTCATTGATATTGTCAAGATTTCATTGTCGTTTTTTCAAAGTCCCTCTGCATCGTGAATGTCAAGATTTCACTGTCGTTTTTCAAAGTCCCTCTGCATCGTGAATGTCAAGATTTCACTGTCGTTTTTCAAAGTCCCTCTGCATCGTGAATGTCAAGATTTCACTGTCGTTTTTCAAAGTCCCTCTGCATCGTGAATGTCAAGATTTCACTGTCGTTTTTAAAGTCCCTCTGCATCGTGAATGTCAAGATTTCACTGTCGTTTTTCAAAGTCCCTCTGCATCGTGAATGTCAAGTTGTGCCATTATAAAGAACAGGGCTCAATTAAAAATGTTAAAACTCACGACAAATTATGGTTGCAGCGACAGACAAAAGTTGCAACGAAAAACATTACTTACTTATTAAGATGGGGGTGTAACCCTATCTCGTACGCGGCAACTCGGTGAGTGCAGCCGCGGGCGTATGCTTGGCTGACATTTGTACCAGCATGGTTTAGTATATGTAAATTCATCCTCCAATTGAACCTGATACGGTATTAACTTTCAAAGGTATATAGCAATAACTGTGCGCGTGTTGCTTCTTTTATCGCAACAGTATTGAACCATTAAACGGTGACGTGTTCTTTATTATCTATTTTCACCCAGAACTGAGCAAGGGCCTCTGACCGTGTCTTCCACGTAACTAATTTGTTCCACGGTTACCGGATTATTTGCATCTCCATACTATGTCGAGTCTAATTTACCAGAAGAGGGTATTTTACAGTATCATGTTGGTTGGTTGAAATAATTTCAAAACTGAAACATATCTCGTTTCACTTTCTGTTTCCATATTTTTCTATCATTAGGTGATTAATTTCAATTATTTGACAATACAATACAATAGAATAATAACATAATGCCCTCCCGCTAGGGTGACGTCATCTCTGGTAGAAATAAAACAAGCAGTATCCTATGAAGTGGAGCACTGAAAAAGAAACAAGATAGTAGGGGAGTTGAGAATTATGACAAGTCGATAAAATATGAAAGACGTGACGTCACGAGTAGTATTAAGTTGCCATTGTTGTTCATTAGGCTGACATATGGAGGTCAAAGTTGAGGCTGCGGGTCAGTTTCTTGTGGTTGACGAGGTTGAAATCTCTACCGTTGGAAGCGATTCGCTTGGCTGGACGAGTTCTTAAATGATTCGTTTCACGGGGGACAGTCATAATGGCCAATAAATAAATAATTATTATTGTCCATTGTTAGAAGCATCGATGCAAGGAAAATGATATCCCTGTTAAGCACTTGAAATTCCAAGTCCACCGAGCCTTCCGCTCAAATATATCATGTGCATGCAATTATTTCACCGATTGCCAACCAAGGCCGTTTTTGCGAACGTTTTTCATGGGGTTCATTAATATTTCAGAAGCTTCCAATGAGAAACCATTGTACTAAAATAGAAAGCGTATAAAAAATAAATTGTCGGAAAAAGCGTATTTGCCATTAAGCAATTGAGAAATTAACAAATATTTGTTTGGTTTATGCTTCGCTTTTCCTGGTATCACTGATCGACAAATGGATTGGACACTTTGGAAAGAATCACAGCTTTCTCGCGATTACATCGCACACTTTCGTTGTATTTAAGCGATCACGGGCCGCGCACCGTGTTCAGTGAATCACAACGGGTGTCAGTTTAATACTCATTCAGTACATATCCTCAAAATGGCATTAAATCTCGTTGTCTTGCGCTGAAATGGTATATACAAGATATACAGTAGTTCATTTTAATTTAAGAATTTAAGTTTCACTGAATTGTACAATTGCAACCAGATATTAGTAAAAAAGCATATGGATATGTAACGTATACCTATCATATTTTGGTACCGTTAGTTCACAGGAAATAGAACGACATCCTCGATCGGGAACACGAAACATATAAACGTATAATGCCCCGAGAAATGTATACACCACTTATACAAACGAATAGAAAATTTTAAAACTGCATCAAAGACACAATAGAAGCATTAACGGAACTGAATAAAAAGTAGTTTCTCTTTTCATTCCCGGCACGCTAAAAACGTTCTCATTTGTGAAGTCCAAACCGGCAGGCAAAACAATTGAGACATCAGACGCGAAGTTACGGCAATGAATTTGATATCATTACCAATTTTGACATGAAGAATGACGAGCTCGATCGACATAGTAACGAATTGACTAGAAGGAAAATTCACTTATACTAATTGACCACGTAGTCAATTCTTTATAGTTGTTTGGTACTTTCATGTGTTACCACCATGATTTGTCGCAATCATTGTCTGATATGGGTCGAGTAAAATGTGTTTTTGTCATTGTTATCAAGTGCATTCATTTAATGTGTTTTATTCACAAGGACCTAACATAGTTTATCATCGACACTTTGTTATATATATATTATATAAAATATTAATAATACCAACATAGTCAATATAAATTTCGACCAAATTTGCTTCAGATATAATTTTGGAAGCGATCTTGACATTTATGGTCAACTTTACGTGCCATATATAATTCCTGTACTTATGCAATATAGCGCGTATCAAATTGTCATTTGCAGTATTTGAATCAGTCATATTAACTCACAACGAGGAGGTTCAAGCTCATTCTAGAAGCGGAAAATTTACTTTACTACATAGGCGTGGTAATGAAACATACTCTCACCATTTAATGTACACATCAGCGTTCTAGCTCACAATCAAAACATTCAAGTCACCACATTAATCGCTTTCAAATAATAAATTTGAAAATATTTGTTATTGAGTACCTTAAAACATACATTTCAGTTTTAATTAACAATCATATGAAATAATACTTTTACAAATTCAATATAATCAGAAATTTATTTACGTCGAATTTGCAAATATTTCACGCAATTTATTCATATAAGCTTATGAATAATCCCGGAATGCAACTACAATTATTCTCGAAAAACAAGTTTGGAGTTGTAGTAGTAAATTGAACATCAGGAGTTCTCTGACTAAAAAGAGAGATACATTCCGTGCATCTAAATATTGCCTACTGATATAGATGTAAT